ACACACCATGCTTCTTGCTATTCCTGTGGGTTCTAGCCTCAGTGCCTTGTGCATGCTGTTTGCCCCACCAGAAATGCCTTTCCTCTGCATCCTGAATACCTAAACCCTGTCCTTCATGGCATAGCACAAATGCCACTGACTTTAATAGAGCTTAGTTGGCTGCCCTATCTGAAGATGACCTTTCCCACCTCAGATACCCCTATTCTGTGAGAGGGGAAGACCATGGCAAACACGACACTTCCCAGAGTGAAGGCAGCAGGACAGATGCCAGTCCCAAGAGAAATTCTGGGAATAAAGAGTTCCACAGGCAAAGTTTAGGTAACAGTCCACACCACAGCACTCCCTAGAAATCCACATTATGTATTCATGTATTAAAGGATCGCAAAAGTTCTTTGGAAGGAAAACCTGCGTAACTATTTTTTTTGTTGTTGGTTTAAGCTTTTATTGCCAGTCTTGAAAAGGAACATATTAACCAGTTATCTCGTAATAAGATGACGATTTGCGTTTTTCTTACAATCTAGTAGGCAGTCCTAAGGCCCTAATGCGTGTGGGAGTGACTTTTTGCTCACTTGGCTAAACCCCTCTCAATGGCAGGGAGCAATGGAAAGAAACATCTAGCTTATAAACACATCAGGACCTCAAATTGAGTTGTTGAGCCACTTTGATATTTTTTAACAAAGTAAGTACTGATCTTATCAGTCTTCCCACACTGCCTCACACCCTCCCATCTAGGTCACTAAAAATATATATATGTATATATATGGAGTTTTTTGCTCTTGTCACCCAGGCTGGAGTGCAATGGCGCAGTCTTAGCTCACTGCAACCTCCACCTCCTGGATTCAAGCGATTCTCCTGCCTCAGCCTCCCAAGTTGTTGGGATTACAGGCACCACCACACCTGGCTAATTTTGGGGGTTTTTTGGTTTTGTTTTGTTTTTTAGAGACAGAGTCTTGCCCTGTTGCCCAGGCTGGAGTGCATTGACAAAATCCCAGCTCGCTGCAACATCTGCCTCCTGGGTTCAAGCGATTCTCTTGTCTCAGCCTCCCGAGTAGCTGGGACTACAGGCGCCCGCCACCATGTCCGGTTCATTTTTGTATTTTTAGTAGAGACAGGGTTTCATCATGTTGGCCAGGCTGGTCTCGAACTCCCAACCTCAGATGATCCACCAGCCTCAACCTCCCAAAGTGCTCGGATTACAGGCATGAGCCACTTCACCCAGCTAATTTTTTGTATTTTTAGTAGAGATGGGGTTTCACCATGTTGGCCAGGCTGGTCTCAAACTCCTGACCTCAGGTGATCCACCTGCCTCGGCCTCCCAAAGTGCTGGGATTACAGGCGTGAGCCACTGCACCTGGCCGAAAAATACATTTTTTAAATTTTTTATTTCCATAGATTTTGGAGGAACAGATGACATTTGGTTACACGAGTAAGTTATTTGGTGGTGATTTGTGAGATTTTGGTGCATCCATCACTGGAGCAGTATACACTGAACCCAATTTGTAGTCTTTTATCCCTTACCCCTTCCCACCCTTTCCCCTGAGTCGCCAAAGTCCATTGTATCATTCTTATGCCTTTGCATCCTCATAGCTTAGCTCCCACTTATGAGTGAGAACATACTATATTTGGTTTTCCATTCCTGAGTTACTTCACTTAGAATAATAGTCTCCAGTTCCAACCAGGTTGCTGCAAATGTGATTAATTTGTTCCTTTTCATAGCTGAGTAGTATTCCATTGTATATACATACCACAATTTCTTTATCGACTTGTTTACTGATGGGCATTTGGGTTGGTTTCGTGTTTTTACAATTGCAAATTGTGCTGCTATAAACACGCGTGTGAAAGTATCTTTTTCGTATATTAACTTCTTTCTCTCTGGATAGATACCCAGTAATGGGATTGCTGGATCAAATGGTAGTTCTACTTTTAGTTCTTTAAGGAATCTCCACACTGTTTCCCATAGTGGTTGTACTAGTTTACATTCCCACCAGCAGTGTAGAAGTGTTTCCTTTTCTAGTGTTCCAAGGTTCTCACACAAGGAATTCTTGAATTTGGAATTGGGGACCAGGATTATAGTCCTGATTAAGCACTTGTTGGTGCTGGTCTTCCCCAGGACCAGGCCCAGATAACCACACATCGTAATACTGGCATCATGTTTTTCCCAGGCCAAGGTAGGGAAATTGTACATCCCAACATGTGTAGGGTAACCATGCATCAGATATGTATGACAAGTTGTTCTGTTCCCAAGCCCAGGTAGGGTAATCACACACCCCAACAAAGGTGACATACTATCCCAGCATAATTATTCATTGTGAACTTTGCACTATCAAAAGCATCCTGGTTTGGGTGATAAATTATATAGTCACTTAGTTATAAGCCCTTCACCTATAGACTTCATTATATCCAGTTCCTAAATCAAACCAAACCACCCTAACGAGAGTAGAACCTAGAATTAACAATTTTCCCATTACATAGAATGTTGTTTTTCTGGACTCCAGGCCACTGTGTGCCAGCCATAGTTATTTCCTAACTTCCACCATATTGATCCAGTCGATGTGACAGGATGTGTGCCAGAGACTCTTATTCTATTCTTTAGGGTCCCACTGGAGCTAAATGCAGTCATAAGTTCAGATGAGTTTGCCATAAATCCCTGCCATTGTTCCCCCATGCACTCCTGGCTACTTGATAGGGTCCTGCTCCCAATAGACTGTTCAAAACTATGACATTATCAATAACACTTGAGTGTAACACATCACACCTGAAACCTACAACGATGGTACCCATCTGCTCTTTACCCCCTCAGGACTGGAGTTCCCTACACACTGGCACTAGCCTCACCACACATTCCTGGTTCCTGAATGGCTTACTTCCCCCACAATGACTATAGCCACATGGGTTAGGAGGCCAGATAACTACCTGTGTGACCTTTATCAATCACCCCTCATTATCAATCTCAGTTAACTCATCTCTGAAATGAGCTGGCTGGTCTGGACGGCATCCAACATTCCACCCAGCTGTGATGAATTGACTCTATGTACCCTTTTTCTGAAACTTAACTACTTCCACATAAGGCCTCACTTCCCAAATATCTCTTAAAGGTGGGGTCTCTTTCCATATTATTTTTTTAATCTCCTTCAGACCATGGGAGAGAACTTTGAACATTGCTGAAACTCAAATGTATGTCACATAAGGATTTTTAAATGAGTGAGGCATTGAAGCCTAAAAAATTTCAAACTTAGACTTCGAGATGATGGGAAATTAAATAAATCTAAGAAGTGAAATGATCTGGTCAAAGCAGCAAGCACTATAGAAAAATAAACTCATATCATTTTCTAGCACTATGACTAGTGAACTAGCACTGCCAATAATGGCTAACATTGGACACTTACCATGTGTGAGATGCAGCTTTCAGTGGCTCACACCAACCCTGTGAAGTGGGAACTACTATTTTTCCCACTTTACAGATGAGAAAACTGAAGTACAGAGGGGTTAAAGAACCTGACTGAAGTCCCCCAGGAAGCAAATGATGTATTCAAACCTGGGCAGTCTAGCTCCAAAGTCCATGCACTTAAAAACAAGGTCAGCCTGCCTCTCCCTCTCTTTCACAAGCATTTGCTCACCTAAGCATCCCAACACCACCAGGTTATTATGCGCCCAGCAGAAACTGAAGCCCAGAGAGGCTTAAAGATCACCCAGTGTCCCACAGCAGACTCAGCGCATGACAATACACTTGTGAAACGTCACTGACAGCTGACTGCTGAGAAACAGGCACAGAATAAAGTGGAAGTGCCATTGGGGGACAGCAGCTCTGGAGAGAATTAAAATTGGCAGTAAATTGAAAGGAAGAGGTGTTTGTGGGGGACACAATGAAGCGAGAAGTGACAGCCCTGGGCTATCACCTGAAGGGAAAGTCAAGGCAAGGGAGAAGCCTGCAGAGGCCACAGAGTGGACGGTGAGGACCCAGGAGCATGGTAAGGTAGGCACGGAACAGTTTAGGAAGGACAGAAAAAAAAATGTTGTTTGCCATCACAAACATGTTCAGCACCAATACAAAAGTTATAGAAAAACACACATTTTGAAGCCAGGGAACTGACTTTTGGATTAGGATGGTTTGACTGAAGCAGCATTCACAAGAGAATCTGGTATGGCGAGTGCCACATAATAGGCACTCAATAAATGTTTGTTCCAAATAAAAGAGACAAAAAGAGAAAAATCTGAGAACTGCTTTCATAAAGAGAAAGACACCTAAGGGAGTAGGTGCTCAATAAATATTATTTTTTTATCTGTGTGCTGTGAGAAGCCTGGGGAGCTGTAAAAGATTACCTGATCCATTTCCAAAGAGCCCTGAGCCTCTGATTGCAATTCTTGCAAATTCCCGGGGAAGGCTGTGGAATTCCTCTCTGGGGACTTACAAACACACTTTTAGAAGAGCCACTTGGAGGGAGTGGTTTAGACAATTTCAAAATGGATGAATTGAGGCAGAGAGGCTAGACCAAATGATTCTGTGGTCCTTTTCATTTCTGATGTCCATGTAATCCCCTCAGAAGCTGAAGTTTCCACCCTACTCCCGCATGGCACAGAGATGAACCGAATGGACCCGCAGACATTGCTGTCCCAACAAGCTGAGGATGGCTGAGTGATTTGGGAACCTTCCAGTAGGGCCGGGTTAAATTGCAGGCCAGTTATTTTGTGAAGAAATAAACCACAGAGAGCCCCTTTCAAACATGCATGCAGAAATCAGGACAAAATGCCAAGGAGATTATCTGCTCAGAATTTGCTTTAAAAGAGCCTGGGCAGCACTCATTTATTTTTGGGAAAATATATGATTAACCAGAGTTAACTATGAATTCAGATATTGTGCATTAGACCAGCTCCTCAAAGTTTGAGCGCATTTAATATTATATATCGCTGCCATTTGGACTAAATTGTTTTTTTAATGTACACAATATTACAAATTTAATTTGAGCTGTTTGAATCAGTCTGTAAAAAAGATTTGATTATACCTGAGTGTTCTGGCCCCAGCGTTTCCGTATCTCAGTAATCTTGACGGTAATTGGCTGATTGGGCGTCTCACACTCCATCTCTGCCTCAGTTTCCATGGTAATGTTACAGGAGCTATTATAGATGAGAACTTCATCTCTTTCCACTTTAGGGCTGAAACGAGAGGGGAGGTTAAATGGGGTGTCATCAATCTTAATGAAATGCAATTATTTTTACTCTTATTAATCATTGCAAGCCATTAGCTTGTGGCAACTACAGGCCACCATTTGTCAAATTTTGCAAATTTCTGTAATTTTGTTTCCATTATTTTATTGTTTATTTGTTTTTCCTTTTATCTGCACACCCTGCAATGAAAATGCACATGGTAAATATCTTTCACTGAGGCCTTTCTCTTTTCTGAATCTATTAAAAACATTAGCAAAAGCTACCTCTAGCCCAGCTTAACAAGAAATGCACGGACAATACTTCCAGTTCCCAAAAGGGAAACAAATGTTGGGGAGAGTTTTTGTTTTTATTTTTTTTCTTTTCCCCTTCCCTCTTCCTGCTCTTTCTCATACTTAGTGTTGGGGGAGTAATTGCCTGAATCCCCCTAGGGCAGATGGAGAAATTGGAAAACCCACACAACTGGCTAACTGGTCCCTAATTCCAACTGTGAAAAAATGAGCTCATTTAGGCTTTCAATTCCCTCTCCCCAGCTGATGGCAATGAGGCTCTGTTGCTAGCAGTGGAACATTAACTTAGTAAATTAATTAAACTTACTTAACAGCCCAGACTAAGGAGATTCGATATATGTGCCAGTTATACTACCAGCCACTCGCTTTAAAAGTCCTCTTGCTTTAAGGGGAGAAGCCAGACTGGATTTAAGATAAAAAACAGCAGTGTAGCATTACAGAAAGTCTAAAAATATGCCATCTAGAGAAGGTGAGGGCATGGATAGTGAAGGGTGTCATCCTCAACAGGTGTGATATTTATTCAAGAATCATCCTGGTTGTAGGCATTTTTGCAACTAACTCAAAAATTATCAGTAATAATAATGCATGATGTTTCATATTTGTCAACAATCTCATATGTATGATCTAATTTCAGCCTATAAATTAGGAAGAGGTATAAAAAATGTAACCCAAAGAGATTAAGAGATTCTCAGAAAGTCGAACACAGAACTATGGTAGCTCTGAGGTCAAAACCAGACGGTCCTGTTTCCCAGAGCAGTGCTCTCAAGTTTTGAAATGCTGATTGTACATCAGCCAGGAAGATGGCAGATCCCATGGGAAGACCAGGAAGGGTGGAGACAAGGGCAAAAAGGTCACCAGTTGAGAAACTGTACACCATGTCAAACCTTATCATCTTTTTTCAAATCAATGTCAAAATGTTTTCTTCCACAATTTGCTAGAAATAATGAGCGGGATAACTAGTACATCTCACCACTTAATCTTCTCTTCATGCTAAAATGTTCTCCACTCTGTATCTACCTAAGGCATGATTTCCAAACCCAAAGTCCTCTAGACCTAATAATGTAGATTGGTCAATATGTTAACATCATGCCACTCAGATCTGCAGGCAGATTGTTTGGGCTGACCCCTGGGGCTCTGGTCCACCTTTATCTGAGCTTCCTTCTCACGGCACCTGACACTGCGTTCATTTTGAAGGCCACCATGCTTATACTTAGATAGTGGTCAACTCAAAGTCTCAGAGCTGCAGTTTTCTGAGGATTTCACCATGCTGTGCCTGTTCAGATGATTTTCTGAGAAGCACTGGCATGTAAAGCTTAGGCTCAGAAGCAGATCAGCTGGATCTGAATCCCAGGGCAGATAGTTACCATCTACATGACATCGAAGACATTACTTTGCTAAGCTTTGGTTTCCACATTTATAAAATGGAGTTGCCAATAATCGAGTACCTATTTTGTGGAGGTGTTGAAGAAACTGAGCAAAATGAAGCATATAAACCGATTAGCATGGAACCTGGCACACAATAAGAACCCAATAAAGGCAGCTCGCGTTATAGCTGTTAGAGGTAGTAGTGTTAGTAGTATTATCGTTAAAAATGTAAATGTGAAAATTTACATTTATTATTGTTACATTTCTCTCACTGGTTTAGACCCATTGCTCAAATTCATTTTGAATCTGTAGCCTGTGATCTAGCTGTAAATTCATTCACTGATCCTTCGTCCACAGGGCAGAAAAAGCCACAGGATGAATCCATCCTTTGCTCCTGGAGCGTCAGTCATATTCCAAGATTCAGAAAGGAAAACCAAAGTAATTTAACTTTTAAATTAAAATGTAATGTAATATTTAGATCAATATAGAAATGTGATGGAATCAAATGCAAAAGTCACACAGACTTTTAAAACTCCTCACTTCAGAGCAACTTGAGGCTTGCGTCAGGCCACTTTGGGCTTTGCATCTAGAACCTTTTTTTGATACTGGGGGTAGAGAAGTTGTTGGAATAGTTTGTGAAGGTCTCCCTCTGTATTTATATCATAAGTCACTTATAAACCTATCAGAAAGGAAATGAAGTTGGTTTCCCGCACCATCACATTCTTCGTGAATCAGTTTCCAGATGGCTAGTTTCATTTCTGAAGGCTCACAAACTATCTGATGAATAGTTCATTCTAGAATTTTGTCAGGGATAACATCAAGTTTAGTTGTCTAAATTTCCAGAATTCCTCCTTTTCTTAGGTTCATAGAATATCTCCCCATCACCTCTGTTATGTGACCCCTTCTCATGGTTCGTTGTCCACAGTAGGTCCTCAATCGTAAGAGTGAGTTTTTTGTACCCAGTTTATGAATAATCTCAGACTACAGACTTGAACTTAAGGAAAGCAGTGACCAACTTCCTTTTACAGCGTTTCTTGGCCTTGGGCTTCCACTCTTCTCATAAACCTTCTTATGCCCTTTCCTGACTCTTCACTGGCAGAGGTACAAGTAAAATGGGCTGAGTCACTTTGCCCTGTTTGCCTGTTAGAAACCGACTGTTTTCGCGAAGCATGTTATTCTTGCTCTGAAAAGAATTAAACCCCTTTCTGTTAGCTTGGACTTTTTGTTTACCAGCTTCAGCTCACACTTCTTTCCATATTTGTAACTACCTTGCTAGAAATTTTTTTCATTAAAAAGCCATCACCAAAATTAGCTGAGACACCAGGATATCCAAAATAGATTAACATTTACAAAATTTCAAAGCTTCTAAGTAGCTAGCTACTCTTCCATGGTTTCTTCCACAATAATCCTATGAGCTAAGAAGCACAGTTGACCATATTTAAATATAAATATAAGCATATATATATGCAACATAAGCATATATATAGAGACACAGAGATCAATATATGTACAGATATAGATACAGATATACATGCATACACACTGCACACACACAAATATTTATTTTAGGGCATGTGGTTAAAAATATTGGGTAAAAATGGTGGCAAAGATTGTTCTAGAACCTAAGACTCCTGACTCCCAAACTATCGTTCTTTAGTTGATCTGATTAGACCCTAAAGTAAGCAAGTAACCTTGGCTGTGCTCCTTAGGATAGGGAAGGAAAACACTTTGCAGGCATTCTCTCTCCCTCACTTCCCCTGAAATTGCTTCCTGTGGCTCTGAAACCTCACTGAACCCACACAGCTCAGCCAGGGCTCTCACACTGAGGCTGCCAGGACAGCATTACACTAAGCACACTGCGTCAGAAGCCTTGACTTCCAGTCCCGATGCTGCCATGGCTTGACTGTGTGACTTTGGGAAGTTACTTAATCTTCACTTACAAGAGATTCCAAACTCTTTACTTTGGCCTTCAATGCCTCACATATCTCTCCGAGCTCATCTGGGGCCACTTTTCCTCCTTCTCAATCTACTCCTACCCTCCTGGCCTCTGAACAGTCATAAAACTCAACAGTTCTTTTGCATTTGCTGCTGCCACTGCCTGACCCTCTATAAAGACACCTGCTTCTCTTCCTAACATAAAAGACTTCTTCAGAGAAGCCTCCTCTAAGTACACTCTCTAAAGTAGCCCCTCTTTTTCTATCACTTTATAGCACTGATCACAACACGTGATCATCCTGTTTATTATCTGACTTTCTTCTCTACCCTTAAGGGCAGGGACTTTCATGACATCCACCATCAAGCCACCAGTACCTGTCACAACACCTAGAACAGTGTAGGGATGTGATCAATACCAGATAGATGGATGGATCATGGATGGATGGATGGATGGATGGAGGGATGGATGGATGGATGGATGGTTGAATATACTGGATGGATGGATGGATGGATGGATGGATGGATGGATGGATGGACGGACGGATGAATAGACAGGGTACAATTTTTGCCACAGATGCACTTCTCCCTTCCCCATAGTTGTTATGGATGTCAGGGAGATACAGCATTGTGTTCCCTGGAAAAACACATAAAAACTCAATGAAGAAAATAAATACGGTCAGTACTCTAGCCACCTAGAGATAGGCACCATCAACATTCTTGGATACATCTTTCCAGCCTTTTCTCTAGTAACCTATATGTGTACAAACATACACACTATGTACAACAGTAGGATCAAATTGATATACTCTTTTGAGACCTATGGTTTTCACTTCTCAATATATTATAAATATCTCCCTGTCTGGTTAAATATTCTACATCCTAATTTTTAAAGGTAACTTTAAAAATATCATTTGGATACATTCTTTATTACTAAAATTTGTCTCATTGCGAATTTTTTTTGATACCTGAAACTTCAAAGAACATAATTGTTTATAAATATTACACATTTCTATCTGCTTTCTTAAAGTAAAATCCTAGAAGAGAAATTGCTGGGTCACAGAGTGTAAAGAATTTAAGGTTATTCGTGAATCGGCAAATTGTCCTCTGACGCTTGCACTTCCCACTGGCAACAAAGACCACTGCCAGTTTCCTCCACTCTCATCCCCACTAAACATTGTTTGTTTAAATCATAGGGCACTTATTGTAATTCTTACTCAAGAAAACATACCCACTTTGGCCTACTGCAATAGTCAGAACATTGAGCAGCACTACTGAAATAAAATTCATAGGGAAGGGTATAACTGCTAATGGGGTCTGAGGCTCAGTTGCCTCAGCCGCCCCATACAGTGAAGAGGAAGAGCATGGAAGAATTCCAAAGGAAGAGTTTTGGGGATTCAGATGAAGTCCCTGAATTCAATGGAGCCAGGAACTACTGACATGTACTTTCTGGTGTCCAGCATCAGTAAGTTCTGAAATCTAGTCTCACCTGAGTACAATACCCAGTGCCCCATCTCCTGTGTGAGCTAAACAGAGTTCTTCTTGCCCTTTTAGAAAGCAACCAGCCAAGGAGTTTCCTCTTTTCCTCCAGCTAAACCTAAACCTCTGGTGCCCAATTCACACTAAAACACAAACTGTCTCAGGACATCCCAAAGTCAGACTGCCATGAAAAGAGCTGGTTATCTCTTTCACTGTGGGGAAGTGGTCTTGTTTAGTTTCATATTTTACAAGAAAAGAGACTGGGCACAGTGGCTCATGCCTATAATCCCAGCACTTTGGGAGGCCAAGGCGGGTGGATTGCTTGAGCTCAGGAGTTTGAGACCAGCTTAGCCAAAATGGTGAAACCCCGTCTCTACTAAAAATACAAAAATTAGCCGGGCATGGTGGTGTACACCTGCAATTCCAGCTACTCAGGTGGCTGAGGCATGAGAGTACCTTGAACCTGGGAAGCAGAGGTTGCCATGAGCCAAGATCGTGCCATTGCACTCCAGCCTTGACGACAGAACAAGACTCTGTCTCAAAAAAAAGAAAAAGAAAAGAGGCCTTCGTTAGATAATCAAAGGTAGCCACTCTATCTAGGTAAGAAATAAAGACGTTTACATGACAATATTCAGTCATGAGACACCGCCCTATGTAGGAAAGGAACTCCTTGCTGAAATGAAAGCAATCCAGAATTACTAACATAGTCACACTTCTTTTTTATTTGTTTAGAAAAGGGGGATTCACTTGGAAAGTTGTAGTATTTATTTGTCAGGCTCTTTTTTAAGTTTAAAAAAAAAAAAACCCTTATATGCCTATGGCTTCTAAATCCTGGATCTACAGTAATTCCGCCTATGCAACCCTCCTTCTTTTGAATAAACATTGTACAATCTTCTGGATTTCTCTATGACTTTTTTTCATACTTGTGAATCTGTTTGGAAAGAAAAGAAAAAGGAAAGCGGGGAAAAAAGCCTTCTGTTTTTCATAACGTCTAATCTTTTTCCCCATTGGCATTCACCAGATGTTGCTTTGGATCGGAAGATAAATATTAAAATCTAAGCAAGAACAAAGCGAGCTGTTTACTGGGCAGATTTTTCAGATGTTCTCTTGAACAGTTGAAAAAGACAGGAGATGCTTTGATATGCAGGCTGGCTGGAATCCACAACGGAATGGGCCCTCCAAGAGAGTTGTAGCCCCTACCACGGCTGCCAGTCCAGATCCCACCCAGCCTACACTCTCTGATGGCTCCATCAGTCCATTGGCCAAGCATTTGTGGGGAAGTTCAGGGAGGGAGAAGGTAAGGTTACCTGACAAAGAGGCCCGAGAACGATGGAAACATTGACTCAGCCCAATGATCTGGCACAAAGAGGCATTGGGAACTTTCCTCACAAATGTAGAGGTAAGGCCACGATTCGAGCATTCGCTCTGTCCCCACGGCAACTGTCAAATCACACTGCACATAGGTGTGTCTGGCAGCCTCACAGCTGTCTTCCTCATGCTTCAGGCCACACAGGAAAGCCAAGGACACTGCAGGAAACAGTCACCATTAGGAAAGAACCACAGAGAGAACCGAAGGCCTCTAGTCCGTTTCACAAATGAAGTTCCTGTGTCCTCCCTTGACCAATAGGAATATGAAGTTAGCAGTTTACTTTTTTTTAAATGTATTATGTATGTGTAATGTACACAGAAAAATGCAAGTATCATTTTTGTAAAATATGAATAATCATCGTAAAAAAAAACCTCTGGTAAATTTCCCAGCCAACATAAGATATAAAACACTTGTAATACACTTAAATCTGTGTGTTTCTCCCCAAGTCCGTCCCTTTCCTCCTCATTCTCAGAAATAACCACTTGACATTTTTTAAATAGTTTTGTCACACGTTTGTATCCCTAAACAAGAGATTGAGTTTTACTTGTTTTTGAACTTTATCAAATATGATACAGGATAAAATATTCTTGGGCCTGCTTTTTGCATTCCGTATTACATTTTCAAGATTTATCCACATTACTACATATAACTATTGTTAATACATTTTCACTGCTGTTCAATATTGTATTGCATGAACCTACCACAATATATTTATCTATTCTCTTATCCACGAACTTTTTGGTATTTCCCAGTTTTTGCTACTAAAAACGTGTACAAAATTTCATTTAGGGTGCATGCCCATCAAGGAAATTTCTTATTCAAAGAGTAGGTACAAGTTCAACTTTACAAGATAGTGCCATACTGTTTTCCAAAGTAGTTGTGCCATTTTGTGTTCCTACCAGCCGTATTTGTAAGTTCCCATTACTCCATATAATTACAAGCACTTGAAACTATCAGACTGTTAATTTTTGCCAATCAGGTGTGTAAAATAGCATTTCATTGTGGTCTTAATTTGCATTTCAATCATTACTTTTAGGTTGACCAATTTTTTTTTTTTTTTTTTGAGACAGAGTTTTGCTATGTTGCCCGGGCTGAAGTGCAGTGACACAATCTTGCCTCACTGCAACTTCCGCCTCCCGGGTTCAAGCAATTCCCCTGCCTCAGCCTCCTGAGTAACTGGGACTACAGGTGCACACCACCACGTCCCGGCTGATTTTTTTGGATTTTAGCAGAGACAGGGTTTCTCCATGTTGCCCAGGCTGATCTTGAACTCCTGAGCTCAGGCAATCCACCTGCCTCAGCCTCCAAAGTGCTAGGATTACAGGCGTGAGTCACCGTGCCTGGCCAAGTTGACCGATTTTTTACGTTTGGTAACAGTTCATATTTTCTCTTCTATGAAATTCCTGTTTCTCTCATTTGCCCATTTTTCTATTGGGTTGTTTGTCTCATTGACTTGGATAAGGTTGTGGATTTCTTGCTTTTCATATAATTATAAACATTAACATGTTATAGAGATAAAAAGCAAGTATTTGAAGCACTCTGACTCTCAGGCCATTTTTTTCTGAGTCCTGACACACATATAAAAAGCACATCAAGAGGCAGACTGGGAACAATCTTTAACTAGAAGATGAACAAAGCTCCACATAAGATGGTTCAGGAGCAGCTCTGTCTGAAAACCTTAATAAAGAGGGAAAAAGAAAAAAATCTCTGTAGCCCGATTCCTCTGTAGCAAGCCTGCCCATGTGAGTATGCAACAAAGGTTATCAAGGGCCGTGGGCTTAGACCTGTGCTTCCCCACCTCATTACAGTGCTGCAGCAAGGGTTACATGAGATAAGTACATAGGAGAGGGTTTGTAGTTATGCAATCATGCCCAAAGAGTACTATTGTTGCTGTTATATTCTAAAGCACCTGGCACCTAGGAGGTTGGCTGTGAATGTGTTTTGAATGAATTAGAGCAATAAAAATGACTGACAGTAGGACTCTTGTATGAACAGACAAAACATAAGAACTTTCCAGTTAGTAACCCCTAAGGCAAATAAAAACAAGTTCTACACTTATAAAATAATGAATTCATTAAAAGTGATTAAGTAGATGCAAATTGACAAGCTGGATTATGAAAATCACCCAGGGCTGGGGATCAAAATCCACGGGTTTTACTCAGAGTTTTGCCACTAAATAGCTGTGTGACCTTAATCACTTTCACTTTCCCTGCCTTATGGAAAAGTTAAAGTTTCCATGAAAACATCACGTGGTATAATTCAAGGTACAAACGCAAGAAAGCCAAAGAGCAAAGATTTTGCTCATTTTAAACAAACACAAAGTATTAGTTTCACCTAACAGGATGTTTTGGCAACTCATTACAAGAACAAGTAAATTTCTCCTATTGTTAGAAGTACAATTTGTGGGGATGGTAAAAATGGGTGACCCTCAAAATAGCAAAAGCACATTTGTAGAGCCCCCTGCTTTAACTCCCCCTGCCCCACACATGTAAAGAAAACATATTAGTCCTGTGGCACCGGCATAAACAAAACAATAATTAGGAACGTTTGAGTTCAGGGTCATTATCTGTAACCTGGAATGTGAAACATCACTCTATTGTACAAAGTCAAACTGAAGAAAAAAACTCAAAGCATGGGTCAGAATTCAAAGCGACCTTGGTAAATGAGAGACGTTAACAGAAATAAACAAAAGAACAAATGAAAAGAGTAAGAGAGTAAACTACAAAAGAAAAAAGGAAATCATATAAATATGAGGAAAGTCCAGCTGTGTGCAGCCATGGTGGAAACACGTGCGCACACACACGCACCCCTTGGGATAACAGTAGGGAACAGAAAGCTTATTAACCAGCAAGACGGCACTATAATTTTACAAACAAATATGGGATCAGATGATACACAGGCATCTTACGATGTTACCCAATTTGACCAGAACTTGCTTGTATAGAACAGCTTCCTCGTTTGGAGCTTCAAATCAGAAAAGAATGTAGGATTTCAGAGAGGGCTGAGAAGTGAGATACTAAAATGCTTACTTGGAAAGTTTCTGATTCAGTAGGGCCCAAGAATTCACATTTCTAACAAGCTCCCAGGTGAGACCCCTGCAGCTACTGCTCCAGGAAACACACTTCCAGATCCACCGCCATAGAGGAACTGAGATTACTCAGCTTTCCAAAGAACCCCCCGCTGATTAAGATTGAAAAAATTAGAGTAGGGGAGCATCCATTAGGCAGAGGATGGATTTCTCTGAGAAGAGCAATTGTGAAACGCTAGTAAGGGTTGCTGCTGGGAAATTCTCCTCCGAAAAATCTTTAAAAATACAAGTGATTCTTAGCTAACTTGGTTGTACTCAGTCCTGTCTGAACATGGAGAAATTAGTAGTAGTTTCTAGTAATGTCTAAGACATATCCCCTTTGACAATTTGATGTCCATTATAGACCTGCTTCCTAGGGGAAAAAAAAATACACAATCATATACTCGAAATGCTTCATCCAGTTTCAGCAGGTTAACAGAATCCCCAAATCCCATCTTGGATCTTAAGTAAGAAATCTCTGGAATTGGCTCTCACAATTTCCTCTCAATCTTTAGACATTCTGGTTGAAAGTCTTTTAAAAGACTTTTTTATGAAAGGAAAATTAGTTAAACTATGCATTTCTCTAAAGTGTGCATTGCACAATCAATGAGTGTTTGGTGACACCTAGTGGCCATATAAATAGTTACAGTTTCCAACTCATTTTCCTCTTTAAAAAAATCAAGGACTGCTGAGTTCTTTTCTAAATCTTTCTAAACACAATAATTTTTTCATTATTCTTCCCCTAGAAGTTATAAAACCTAAAATATCACAACTTACCTGACCCTGAAACTTCATTGACTTTTGTCTTATACTAGTTGAAACTAAGTGTTTTGAAATAGTAACACGGGGCTTTTAAAAGTATATTAATTTGAGCAGTGTATATGTGAAAGCTTTTTCAAAAAATGTAGCAGTATTAGTTAAAAATTAGAGTCTATAAATGTGCAGTCTTGGCTTTCTGTTTCCACTGTTTCCCAATCTTTCATTTATTCCTCATCAAGCATTAATTTTGCACATATCCTCGACAACACTGTTCCAAGCTGAGGAGGTAGAGTAGTGAATCAAACAGACAATGTTTTCAACTTCAATCTTCTATTGTGTCCTAAATTTCCCATTGTGGAATCTATCTCTCTTCCATAATGTTGTGCTTATATACATGATGATAATAGGAAACTCAATTTCTAGCATTTTAAACAAAAATTTTTTTCTCCTCCCCTTCTTCCTCTTTCCTCTTCCCCCTCCTCCCTCTCTTCCTTCTCCTCCTTGTATAAGACAACACAGCACAAACTTCCATCACAATAGAATTATCCATCATTAAATTCTCGTCCAAGCTCAGGTGATGTGGTGCTTTCATCATTCTGTAAATCTTTAGCCCACATTCAAGTTGCAGACAAATAAGTTAGGAATAAAACTTACAACACTACACAGAAACGAGGTATGTAAATGGTTAAGTGCACCGGTACAAGATTTACGATTAGGCAAACAAGATAATCACCTGGCTCAATATGAGCTATCTCAAATGCAGTAAGGTCCTGTAGTAATAACAGGAATCTCTTCCTTCTGACTCTTTTTTTTCTGAAGCTCAGTGGGGTATTACCATGTGTTGTGAATCCCCAAGCTTTGCAACTTCCTCTCTCATCTCTTTCCCCACAAAGACATGGCTTCTCACACCACAATTTATATGATGGCTACGCAGCTTAAAGTAGTGAGCAATTGTGGTGTTTCACTGAATAATAAATAAGTAATTACGTGAACATTGGAGAACAAGAAGACAACATGAGTGTTGGCTCTTTTGCCTGTAATAAGAAACCGAAAACTGAACACACAAAGCTAATTTTCAAGTGATATCCAGCTTGACAGTCTCCATCCCTTTACTGGTACCTCCAATAAGCAGATGTCTTCAGCAACCTCACCTCAGAAGAAAGCCAAGAGCTTGTTTCCTCCGTGACTCCTATAGCTGTCATTGAAACTAATATTCAGAATTCAGAATTACTTCCTCCGTCATCCTAAGACTGCAGTTAAGAACACAGGTGATAAGTGTTTCAATATTCACCTAACATTGACCTATTAATATAACAAAAGTTATTATGAATCATTGTAACAGGTGGCCCCAGATTCTAACTATCATTTTATATGGGGAGTAGAGAAATTCTTTTCCTAGGCACACATAGAGAAATTAGTAGTCAGTACAGCATTAATCACAAAAATAGAATTAACCAAAGAATATCATTCCCATATATATGCTTTAAAATGTATGTGTGTGGCATCTTTACTCACCATCCAGGGGCAGAACCAAGCAGCTGAAGGCAGACACTGTAGCATTAGCCAGGACTCGGCAGGGAGCACCACACACAGCAGCTGAGACATTCCCTGGAGAAAATCCTGCTCCAAACACATGCACCAGCCTTCCACCCAGGCAGCCTTTAAAGACAAAGGTACAAGCTCATGATCATACATGCAAACCTCCCTTCTCTACTCAACCCAAAATTCAAACCTTTGCTTCCTCACTACCCATCCTTCTTTTCACATCCTCAGAATTCACACAACTGGCTAGAGGTGCCTGCTGGCCTCAGTTTCCTCTCCACTCAGGCTCTGGCCTTGGTTCTGTCTGATCCCAATCACATTCAACACCCTATTGTGCTTTATATAGAAAATTAATGCTTATTTATAGTTTTTAAACTTTTTATTCAAATAGCCATAAAATGAAAATAAAAATTCCCCCAGCCACCTGACTCCCTCCCTGGAGGTATCCAGGTATAGAGTTTCTTATGGCTCCTTCCAGAATTTTTAAGCATCTATGTTTCTGATTCAAAGGATTATTCTATCCATATCATTCTGGAACTTGCTTTTTTGCTTCAAAGTATAGCATAGATATTTTTCCAAAACTCTATGGATACAGTTCATTTTAATAGTTACTTAGAATTCCATTATAGGGCCATGATACAATTTATTTGACTACTTTCCTATCAATTGAAATTTCCATTATTTCTCCTCTTTTGCTATTGTTAATAGTGATGCAATAACAGTATATGTTTTGGGACATTTGTATGAGTAAAAGTAGTCCACATTTCTAGTTCACACTGAGATACAGAGTTTGCATCACTACTGCCTTCATACCAAGTCTAGGTGGTACTTGACTAACTCAAAAATAATGCTTTTGTTTAAGATGCATTTCTTATTTCCCTGCTCTTCCATCATAAAAACATGGAATCTTAGGGAGTAGAAAGGGGAATTTGGGGATCATCCAGTCCAAGTTCCCTTATCAAATAAGGAAGCTGAGTTTTAGAAAAGTCAAGCATAAGTTAGTTAAATCAGTGACAGACTAGAGCCAAATCTCAGTCCCCACAGTGTTCCACCAAGCTGAGACCAAATTTGTTCTGAGAAATGTCTTAGTACTTCGTCAGTCTAAGATTCTGTTTCTATAATTTTTTCTATACTTTCTAAATCATAACTAAATTTGAACTATCTCAAGTGCAATAAGGCTTTAAGTGAATAGAAATTGAAATCTTTTCTTCACTGGAAGGAAAGCCTAGGCAATTTTTGGTATATCTAAAGGGAGAAAACAGTTCAATCAGTTTAATTGTTCTATACATTTGGCTTATTATTGTTGAAATATGAGTCCACTTGTGAAATATTACAAAAAGATAAAAAAAAATACTTAATACATTTTAAACAATGCAAATTGGCAGACATGGCCTAAAACTAAGTGAAGGCATTCATGTTCTTTTTT